TCGTATTCTTGTTTAACCGATCCATTTTAGTTGTTTTGCGTATTTTTATTTGTATTTGGTGTTTTGTGTTATTGGCGTACTTTTTGGTGTCTTTTGATGTTTTATAGGTCCATTTGTTCGAGTTGATAGAGGAGGAACCGAGCCGAGTCCCGAGTACGCGAGTTGAAAAATCGAGCACTTCATCTTCGTCCATATCCGAGTCATTGTCCGTGTTGATGATCCCGAGTCCCGATAAATGACCAATTCCAAACCGTTTCTGAGCCATTTCAAAGCAATCTCGAGGGCGTACTTTTTCATGTCTTTTGGTGTTTTATAGGTCCGTTTGTTCGAGTTGATAGAGGAGGAACCGAGCCGAGTCCCGAGCACGCGAATTGAAAAACCGAACACTTCATCTTCGTCCATATCCGAGTCATTGTCCGCGTTGATGATCCCGAGTCCCGATACATGACCAATTCCAAACCGTTTTCGAGCCATTTCAAAGCAATCCCGAGGTCGTACTTTTTCGTGTCTTTAGGTGTTTTATAGGTCCGTTTGTTCGAGTTAATAGAGGAGGAACCGAGCCGAGTCCCAAGCACGCAAGTTGAAAAACCGAGCACTTCATCTTCGTCCATATCTGAGTCATTGTCCGTGTTGATGATCCCGAGTCCCGATAAATGAGCAATTCCAAACCGTTTTCGAGCCATTTCAAAGCAATCCTGAGTTTTACCGAACTTTTGTCGAGTCGATGCCGCGACCACTCGTGCACTCGCCTGCGCTTTCATCGGGCGAATCGGCACTCGCCCGCGCACCCAAGGAGAGAAGTGACACTCGCCCGCTATTTTGCCCGGGCGACCAGGATAACTCGCTCGCGTGCAACCCCAACACTCGCCCGGGTTTCGTCAAGCTAACCGACATTCGCCCGAGGCCACATGGGGCACTCGCCCGGAATTCGCCTAGGTGGACCGATATTCGCCCGTGGCATGGAGCACTCGCCGGGGCGAAAATGGGGCTCGTGTGCAACCCCAACACTTGCCCGGGTTTCGCCAGGCGAACCAACATTCGCCCAAGGCCACATGGAGCCCAGACAGACTGATACTCGCCCGCGGCATGGAGCACTAGCCCAGCATTTCGCCCGAGCGAAAATGGGGCTCGCGTGCAACCCCAACACTCACCCGAGTTTCGCCAGGCAAACCAAAATTCGCCCGAGGCCACATGGAGCACTCGCCCGGAATTCGCCCAGGTGGACTAATATTCGCCCACGGCATGGAGTACTCGCCCAGCATTTCGCCCGGGCGAAAATGGGGCTCGCGTGCAACCCCAACACTCGCCCGGGTTTCGCCAGGCGAACCAACATTCGCCCGAGACCACATGGAGCACTCGCCCAGCATTTCGCCTGGGCGAAAATGGGGCTCGCGTGCAACCCCAACACTCGGCCTGGGCGAAAATGGGGCTTGCGTGCAACCCCAACACTCGTCTAGCATTTCGCCCGGGCAAAAATGGGGCTCGCGTGTAACCCCCACACTCACCCGGGTTTCGCCAGGCGAACCAACATTCGCCCGAGGTAGTACTCACCCGAATTCGCCCAGGCGGACTGATATTAGCCCGCGGCATGGAGCACTCGCACAGCATTTCGCCCGGGTGAAAATGGGGCTCGTGTGCAACCCTAACACTCGCCCGGGTTACGCCACACGAACCAACATTCCTCCGAGGCCACATGGAGCACTCGCCCGGAATTCACCTAGGCGGAGTGATTTTCGCCCTCTGCATGGAGCACTCGCCCGGGCGAAAATGGGGCGAGTTGAAAATTTTAATTGTGTGTGATTTTAGTGTGTGTTTGTGGTGTAGTTATAAATAGACCAAAGCTTTGTATTTTTTAATATCACCCCTCATTTCCCAACTTTTAAGTTGGGAAATCCTCTCTATTTTCTCTCTTTTATTTTTATGCTTTGGTTTGAAGGTTCATAACTCATTTTCCGACGAAATTTCGGCAATATCATTTTTAATCAAGACTCGAGTTTTACGCACTACTTTATTCCAGGCATGCGATAGAAGAGTAAGTACCTTGCTTAGGACTTACTACTTCGACTTACTACTTGCTTTGGACTTACTACCTTGCTTAGTACCTTGGTTACAAAACAATAGTTTGCACAATATACATCCTATTTATCTCAAATTTTTGCTATGAAACCACCTAAATAAAAGTTTAGGTAACCTACTGTATGGGTTAAAATAATTCATGATTATAGTCCACAACTAAAGAACACGTGACTCAATATTTTGGCCATATAAATAAAGTCATATTGATTGAAAGTAATTTTGTCTCCACATTTATGCCCTTCCTTTAGTTGACAGTGTTTGCTTGATGTTATCACAAATTGGTCAGATTTAACATAACATCATTAGTGATTAGTTTAAGTTACGTTGTATATTTGTATAGTAGTTTGTGGTAGGCTATGGGATCCACAATTGCACATAAATATTTTTAAAATTAGGACAAACTTTTACAACGCTGCCACGTTAAATAAGATGTTAGTTCAATGATTTCGTCTTTATTCTACTATAATTTAGGCAGTGGCATGATAGGCTGACGAATAAGGTTGGAACAAAAATCATAATGTATTGTTTTAATGATGCATATTGCAATCATATTTATGAACTGAATATGTATTCTCCCTAGAGTTATAAATGAGTTGAGTCCAAGTCGAGCCTTATCGAGTCGATACGAACTCTTTAAAGTTTGAAAAATTACATAAGAACTCTTATTTGTCAAACCTAATTAGAGTTCAGCTCGTTAACTAAAAGAGATTGAATAAAATATGGAGTCTTAACGAAATAGCTAAATCTTTAATCAAACTCAAGAATAGCTCATTTCATTTAATAACTTTTATCTCTCTATCCCATATATTGGAATTAATTTTTATGATCATCATGCTACCCTCGTGCACAAAACCAATCAAACAATTAGTCAAATATCACATCAAAACACCCACAAACATAACTTTATTGTATAACCAAGTACAATAAAATTTCATTATTGTAATTAAGCTATATGTGATTTTTAATACGTATATAACCACAAATGATGTTGTAATTAGGCAATTTAATGGATTGATTGATGGGCTCATCGTACTTTATAGATAAAATTGTATATTTGTATTATGAAATGTCGATCTTTTTATATTATTTTTTAAAAATATGATATTTTGTTATAAAAATATTTGTATGTACGTCGATAGTTAAGTTTTCTGATAGGCACTCTCATTGTTAGTCAATTATAATTTCTCAACAAAAATATATATTTTTATAATTAAATGTCATAATTTAAGATACGATTGAAATAAAAGTATGATACTTTATAATATAAGTCAAAATATATGACTGCGAACGGTTAAGTAATAGTATATAACACCAATATTTGTGTAAGTATTATGGTCTAACAACATCACTATCAATATAAGTTAGAGGTTTGAATTATAATTTGAGGTTGTTACATCCTAATACTTCTCGAAATTCAATGATAACATATTATTATTATTATTATTAATTTAGGGTGGTTCATTATTGAATTGACATAGTTCTCTTTTGTCTCCCTTATAGTTTAATAATATTCTCATCTCTTTGGCATTCGTAGTTATTCCTCTTTTTATTTGCTACGTTTCCACCTTATAAGTTCTTTAACATTTTTGAAGATTTTTTTTAATAGGAGAACAATTTCAAAAGTGTCATATCATTATCGTTTAGATGTGTCAGTGAATTATTAATTTTTTTAGTTGCAATGACTTGTGACTCTTTCTGGTCCAATAGACTTTTAATTGGTAAAAATTTATATGCTGACACATTGCCACGTCCTACTCCATATATCTCTTCATTTCAATTTTTTCTTTATTTTTATTGAAAATAATTTAATTATCGGAAATAAAAAGAAAAAAATAACACCTAACATATTAATTACATAAATAATTAAATATTGACATAAAATAATGTAAGTGTAAATATTGTTAATTTCGTTAAGACTGATGTTAGACCATCATACTTTTCAACATGTGCGTACATATTTCAACCGAAACATTATAATCCTTAAAAAAAAATATAACAAAATTATAACATTTCATAATATTAGTATAATTTTAATGATAAAAAATAATAAAATATGACGGGTCGACTCTCATAACAATTAGTCATCATATAAGAATTTGTGTAATAATTGAAAAAAAAAAAAATGTGACATATTAGACAACCAGAAACTTACAACATATGTTATGTTAAAGTGTATACTTAGTTATGTTAAAACATATGAGTAACTAACAAAACCAAACAACACGTCATTTATTCTGATAATGTAACTTAACTCACAAAATAAAAATATATCAAAGTGGATTTAGAAGGAAATTAGTACGTACTCAGGATATTAAACAAGTTAGGAACTATATACTTATTAATGTTGAGTTGGGTATGAGATTCGAGCATCATTCATTTGTTTCATTAATATTGTTATTTGTCATGCTAATTCTTGAAGTCAATTAAATGCACAGATGCTGATAGGTAATCAAATTCTTCATTATCGATCCTAAATTAATCACCAAAATCATTTATTGTCTAGCACCAAAAAAATTATTAAAACAATAAACTTCTTAAAATCAGAAAATTTATGCAAAATTGTCAAAAAATCTGAATAACAGGGTAAGATGAAACTAAAATGCACAGATAAACAATATAACACAGCTTGATCCACAATTACATGTGCATAAATAAACTTGCCCAAACACTTCATTAAAATCTATTACCATCTCCAAAAGACTAAAAATTTTCCAAAACCATAAAAAGACCAATATCAAATCCCTTACAAAGAAGAACCAAGAGCAAGTGAACCTGTAAAAAGGTTCTTCAAATACACAGGGCTTACACCTAAAACCACAAAGCCCTGCAGCTTACACATAAAAATTTAACATATTTACATCACACAACAGAACCAAAAAAAAAAAAGAGAAAAAAAAAGAAAAAAAAAAAGAAGGGATTTCCTTTTAGGCTGCTACTAAATTATCTTCCTTTGCTGACTTAAGTACTAAATCTTCAGATATCTGACCAATTGAGGCCAATGCCAACAGCTCTGATTCATCTAATCCCTTTGCCGGGCCAAGAAAACACGGGTCCGAAGCCCCGTACTTGGCCAATGCATCCTTAAATTTCTTGATCTGTCAGTAAAATTAATTAAAAAATATGGTAAATAATCACATATATGTATTTTTTGAAAAAAGGAAAGTGAATGAATGGATCAAGATTTGCATACTGTGGCATTTGTGCAGCTAAAGCTACAGACTTTGCCTTTAGCTCCTCTATAGAATCTGAAAAAGGGTAGAACATGAACATGAAGGGCATAACACATGGCTTTGTGTAGCTCATAATTAACTTTGAGAAAAATGGCATCTGGGTTCATTTCAGCAAGTTGGCAGATCTGTAACAAACATGGGGGAAAAAAAAAAACAAAAATCAATAAACCATGTTTCAAAAATCCATATTCTAACAGATAACAGCTCATAAATTGAACACACCAAGAAAAGAAAGGATAACTCACAAATTAATGAATAATAATTAATCAAATTTGTGATAAAAAAATTTACCTTAGGGTGCAAAGCCTTGCATCCTCCACATCCAGGGGAATAAAAGTCAACAACAACTAATTTATCACCAGCATTAGATAAATAATCTACCAATTCTTGAGCTGAGTTGACCTCAATCATGTTTGGCTGCAAAGATTTTTCCCACCATCTCAAAGCTTTGCCGATGACAAATGACCCTTGTGCCTAACAACAAAA